GTTATTATCAAAAACAGCGCTATAAGCTCCGAGTGAATCTTTCAAATCGGCCCACTCTAACATATAGCTGTCATACAAACTGATTGATCAAAATTAATTATTTGACAAGTTATCATCACAAAAATTGGTATAAAGTATTATCCAAAACAACACAACAATTTCCGGACATATTGTTCAAATCGGCCCACTCTAACATATAGCTGTCATACAAACTAATAGATTAAAATAAACATAAAAATCGGTTTACACGCTTTAATGCTATAAAATATGTCACTTTCTTTCCTACATATTGTAAATTAATTTTATTAAATAGTTTTTACATATAATTGTATTAGTTTGCGCGCGCAAAAGTATGCAAAACTTTTATTTACAAATTTTAACCAAATTTTTTTACTTCAAAAAGTTTACTAAAAGCGCGCATGTCGCAATTCTCTTTAATTTGCTTAGATATTTTATTATTTCGCAAATAAAAACTTTGCCTTAAACAGTCAAAATTTTATTGTGACGCTTTTGTGCTCAGCGCTTGCATTTTACGGCATACCGCAACGTAACTTTTGGTGCCACAACTATATATGTATTTTCAATGTGCATGCCTCTGAATGTAGTTTTTATTTCATGCAATCAGCAGCTCACATCACAGAATCAATGTGCATGCCTCTGAATGTAGTTTTTATTTCATGCAATCAGCAGCTCACATCACAGAGCGCTGCGCTCAGCTGTGTTTGACTGTCGCATTGACAGCTTTTTTATTGGCACGTGGGATTTTTGAATATTTTCCTTTTTTGTAACTTAAATTAGCAGAAATTAAGCATATTATTTATATCTAATTTATATAAATACATATATGAATTTAACACCACTAAACGCATTTACATTTAGTGCATTTACATTTTGTCTTAACAGAAGAATGTAATACTGTGTGTTGTTGCAGTGCTTATAAGCTGCGAACTCAATCTAAACGGTATTAATTGAAACGTATCGTATTGTGTTGACTTTGGTTGTGGTGTATGGTTGAAATGGTATTTATATCCTTCTCTCTGGGGTTGCTCGCTCGCCTGCCTCAAACAATATGTGTTTGGCTTCCCTCTATACGTAGCGGTATGTGTGTCCCACAGGCGGTCTATTTTGTTGTCTTTGTGCCAATGTTAGGTTAATTGAATTTTTGTGACAATTCCATTAAATGCATACCATTACGTAATTAAATCCGCGGGGTACAGTTAACATTTTAATGTTTCAATTAAATGATTCCTGGCATCATTGCTGCTGTGTCGTGGCTGAGAATTGATTGAAAAAATTTAAGGAAATTGTTTGTTTGCGTATGAAGCAATTAACTTAATGCTGCTTCAGAAGATGTTTTTTACAATTTTTTTGTTCGATACAAATTTATGTTTACTAGCCAGTAACCAATGGACATTTATCACTTGAGGGATTATATACACTCGCAAGTTAGAAAAAGTCGTATGTTTGTGAAGTTTTTATTTTGAAGAGACAGTTAATTTACTAAACCAACAGAGGTTATATACATTTACAGAATTAGCTGTACTTTAATATGCGACAATTCATTTTGAAAAATTTTTAAATCGCTTGTTTTGCGTAGCCCTACCTAATACCAGGTTCTCCAATATTACCTTCGCTCACAGAGAAGATCGGAAAATGCAAAGTAGAGAGGGCCACAGAGATTAACAGTTATATGGAAGAACTTAAACTAATTAATCGAGTGGGTGTTGGTGTCTGTTCGGCAAAATTAGATACCAGCAACGCCTTCCGTATGTATAATGGACCATTGTAATGTCTTCAACCCGAACATTACAGCGTATAATGAAAAAGACTTCTTGCCTTGACAAGGCGTGTGCTCACAACAAAGAATATATACTTTGATTCCACTAAAATTTCTTTCGGGTATCTACTATCTATGATATGCTGAGTGGTTATAGAATTTCGAAAATTTTTTTATTTGGCATAACAGTTTTATTGAAAAGTGCACGGCCTACTATAGTAAACAAACACATTTTTTGTTTTTTTAAATTCGTTTTCTCTTATGCTCTTATGGAAACTCCGTAGCGTTCACCGTCTTCGATCCTCATTTCACCTTGTTCAAATTTAGCAAATCTATTTTGAATGGTTGATTTCCCGGGTGCAGCGTCCAAATATTGTTGATCCATTCAAACCCAAGCTTCAGCAGCATTTTTTATACCCTGTATAGGGTATATTAAGTTTGTCACGAAGTTTGTAACACCCAGAAGGAAGGGTCGGAGACCCTATACACTATATATATAAATGATCAGTATGTCGAGCTGAGTCGATTTAGCCATATCCGTCTGTCTGTATATATACGAACTAGTCCCTCAGTTTTTAAGATATCGTTTTGTAAATTTGCAAACGTCATTTTATCTTCAAGAAGCTGCTCATTTGTCGGATCTGCCGATATCGGACCACTATAACATGTAGCTGCCATCCAAACTGAACGATCGGAATCAAGTTCTT